TTACGAAATTATAGAATTAAACTGATAAAAGTATCCATTTACCATTAAGTGTGTACGGAATCTGTAGTTATGGCGACTGATATGTATCAGACAGATATATTGTATTCAAGTGTCATCGACTTCGAGTATCTTTATAGAGGATTACTACGATATCATTTATTATTATAGTTACAATGTTTTTGTACAATTTATGAATGTACATGACGGTACATGTATACGATAAGTGGTCTGATCCACGACTGTTACTGATGCCCAAAGCGATGTGAATTCCCATAAATGGTGGTGATTTTTCACTGCACGGAATGAAACTCGACTAATATGTAATCATTTAAAAATAACTCGGGCGCGGTTTGTACGTTCACCTGGAACGTGAGGAAGCCTGTCTTCGTTTTGTATAATGTGTTAATGAAATGTGAACTTGCTGAAACAATAACCATACGCTCTTAGCTTTAGCTTTGCAAATGAATATTCAATCGTAATGATGATGTCCGTATATTATAGTTTCGGTAACAAATAAAAACAAAAATAGTTGTTCCAATTACTCAGATTTTTGTTTATTGCATTAGTGGGTATGCGAGCTCACGGCCCATGGTGGTTACCGAAGCCCATAGACATCTACAACGTAAATGCCGACATCTCCTCGTCGAACCCGTCGCTTGCGACGAAGGGCTCGACGAGCGAATTAACCCATAGCCCACTGAGTTTCTCGCCGGATCTTCTCAGTGGGTCGCGTTTCCGGTTCGGTGGTAGATTCTGTGAAGCACTGCTCAGGGTCAGTGTTAGCAACACTCCGGTTTGAGCCCCGTGAGCTCACCTACACACGTTAGGGTGAAGCTGAAATAGCCTCTGAAGACTATCAGCATAGGTAGGAAAAAAAAGCCGACTCCTACTTTGAGATATGAGTTCTAAGGTCTCAGTACAACGGCTGCCCCAGCTTTCAAAATGTATTATCTTGCTTTTATTTAATATTATTAATTTGATGGAGTGCCTGCTCTTCGTTTTTCATCAGACTGGAGACATTTCAATCGACTGACATCCTTGCACCGCGCGACGTACCACGCAGGTCAGATAAAGGTAAGCTTAGACGGTTCTGCTGTAAAAGTCTATTTCAGTCTCACACCAGTTCGGAGCAGTTTTTTTTATTGCCCAGCCGAGTAAGCGAGCTCACGGCCCACGTAGTGCTAAGTGATTACCGGAGTCCATCTACCTCAACTACATTAATACCGTAACTGACCTTGAGAGACGAGTTCTAGTTATCTGTTCTATAGTATAACGGCTGATCCCCCTTCAAACGGGAACGCATTACTGTTTCGCGGCAGAAATAGTCCGAATGGCGGCACCTACCAGCGCGGGCGCACAAAACGCAATACGACCAGCTATAGGAAAGAGATGTTACTGGTATATTTGAATCTCTATGAATGTATCCAATTGCTTGCCTAATTCCAGAGATTATTAAAAACCATTAAGTATTGTCACTTGCAGTTTGATGCCGAGTTAGGAATCACATAAACACACACAAACACAAAATTCACCCAAAAACAAAATGTCTGTCTGTCATTCCGCGATTGCTTACTGTTTGCTTAATGTGTGTGTAACTGTGGTTTTGTTAATCCATATACATTGATAATTCATTTTCGAAACATTAATCAATGAAATAAGATTAACGGACGAAAACGGAAATATGTAAACTGACCTTGAGAAGTATTGATAAGACGACTTGAGTATTGATTCTACTAATTGATTTTGCTGTCAAAATTGCTGTTTTTTCCCTACCTACTTAATCGTTGATAACTTAAGGGGCCATTCCAATTAGGCGCGAATGAGCTCAACCTGCCAGAATTACTAACACTGCAAAATTACTCAAAATTGTTATCGTCCTGGAAAATGAATGACTCATATGATAATCACACGCATCAATCGACACATTGAATACCGGTGAATCATAATTTCGTCTGTCCTGGCTTTCTTTCGGTATCGAGGGAGATAATTTCGTGATAGTCTGGTTTAAAACAACAAAAAATAACGACATTCAAAATGTTTTGTAAGTTTTTAATAGGTACAGTCCTGAGTTCCGTGGCGATACCGCAATACTAATCGACGGTATAATCCCGACCAGTTCAGAGCCTCTGTAAGAGCCTACTTTAATAAAAACCTTATCTTCATCTTCAATTTCAATTTCACAAAAAAGAAATATCCTGAATGATCCGCGATGACATTGAGAACGATGTTAAAGACGCTCAGACAGTGTGTCTGGCGCGGATCCAACAGTTGCCCGTGTAAATGCACATTTAGCAAACAAAGATATTAATTCGGCTGATGTGCTGAACCGGTCGTATATACACGCTACATTTTTTTAATGTACCAAATAATGAGCAATCCCGCTAGTAAATTATCCAACACACAAATAAGAACACTGGCAACTTTGATGACAGTATTGTTTACAATTATTGTTCACTATGAAACCGCCCTTTTCACTTGTTGGCATAATACCGTCGACAATTACCTAACTCGCTCGGTGGTGCAGTGGTTAACAGCCCTGACTGTTGTGCCGAGGGTCGTGGGTTCGATTCCCACATAGAGAAAAACATTCGTGTCATGGACATTATCGTAAACGTATATAAGTATGTATGTCGGTCTCTGGTTCCCATAACCCTAACCCAAGCATCAGCCAGCTGAGTTTCTCGCCAGATCTTCTCAGCGGGTCGCGATTCCGATCCGGTAGTAGATTCATTCGCGAAGCAGCTGCTCTTGAGTTATTAGGTCTCCTTTGCTGGCGCTCGGGCAACTGTCAGCAAATCCCACCCCTCCTGGCTAGGCCTCTGCTCGCTCACCTGTCCTGGTGAAACTGGAAAGGCCTTCGGGCCTCCAGTAATCCCTTAATCATAAAAAACGTTCCCATCACACAGGGTAATATAATCTGGGGCCGGATGACCATGCACGATTTGTTCCCAGTAATTTATTATTAGGTATTATTATTTATTGTCATTCTTGTATCATATTCTCATGATTTTATATTCAGTAGTGAGACAAAACATAGCTGTTTCATCTTGTAATCGATTTTTATAACAGTCATCATCATAATCATCATCATCATCATCATCATCATCATCATCAGCCTTTATCTGCCCACTGCTGGACATAGGCCTTCCCCCATGCTTATTATAACAATTATAACAGTCGACAACATAAAAATCTATGTTTTTTGTATTGCTTGGATGGGTGAACGAGCTCACAGCCCACTTGGTGTTAAGTGGTTACCGGAGACCATAAACATCTACAACGTAAATGCGCCACCCACCTTAAGATATAAGTTCTAAGGTCTCAGCATAGTTAGAACGGCTGCCCCATCCTTCGAACCGAAACGCATTATTGCTGAAATAGGCAGGGTGGTGGTACCTACCTATGCGGACTCACAAGAGGTCCTACCTACCACCAGTAATTACGCAAATTATAATTTTGCAGGTTTGATTTTTATTACACGATGTTATTCCTTCATCGTGGAAGACGATGGTGAACAATTGTTAAGTACGGTACGGTAAGAAAAATTGGTACCCGCCAACAGTAATGTTTGTCGGCGAGCATGTATTTTTAAACAAAGCGGATAAAAAAAGACACGTAAAGACGTCACTACGTCCAGCCTAAACAAAGACAACCTACTTAAAATTCGAACAAAGATATTATATTGTCAGCTGTACTTAATACAATGAGAATAATATAAAACAAACATGTTTGAAACGTTTACGAACGGCCTTATCGCTAGATGAATCTCTGGCGTCCATATTCATGAGAGCGATAGTCACGAATGAAGATCAAGTCGCGATTTAATCTTCTTTCCATAGCAATAAAATAAACGATTACACTCCATTGTGTGATTTTGATTAATTATGTTACTTGAGACAACGATTGGTAATTTAGATAATAGAAAATTAACAATTAACATAATACTAACATTGTCATAATTTTTTTGTGCACTTTTTGTTTTTGTATAATTACTGAAAGAGAACAAAAAAATGTACTAGAATTGTTTAGAGGATTCACGTGTAATAACAAAATAGTTTTTGAAGGAAACTTGACATAATTATGTAGATCGAATTCACTATACAATACCATTATTTAGCAGCTGCTTTTATTTATTATCTAGCCTACTTCAGAAATGTTCCCATGAAGTTTATCTATACTATCTATACTAATATTATAAAGAGGAAAGATTTGTTTGTTTGTTTGTATTGAATAGGCTCCGAAACTACTGAATCGATTTTAAAAAATCTTTCACTGTTGGAAAGCTACGCTATCCCCGGGTGACATAGGCTATATTTATTATATTTAAAAAAAAAATTGGGATCCTCACAGAAACTCTAATAATGTAACCCAATGTGTAACAAAATTACCTAAAATTCTTTACATCGGGTGCGCTACTTCCCAAGCGAAGCCGGGGCGGTCCGCTAGTAGTATATATGTTTGTCTGTCTGTTTATCTTGTTCTAAGTCGTTCACTCTCGTCAGTCGTGGTTGCATCGATGATGTACACAGTTAGAGGGGACGGTAGCTCGTAGGCAGATTCCAGCTTAGTGGACAGACGTAATTGATTTATTGATTTTTACTCGTGGTAGGACCTCTTGTGAGTCCGCACGGGTAGGTACAACCACCCTGCCTATTTCTGCTATGAAGCAGTAATGCGTTTCGGCTTGAAGGGTGGGGCGGCCGTTGTAACTATACTTGAGACCTTAGAACTTATATCTCAAGGTAGGTGGCGCATTTACGTCGTAGATGTCTATGGGCTCCAGTAACCACTTAACACCAAGTGGGCTGTGAGCTCGTCCACCCATATAAGAAAAAGAAGAAAAAAAAATTAGGGAATTGCTCAATCCGCCGTGGCCCGATGCTTTTGTACCGTCAAAACCTCGTGCCTCGAACCGTCAAAGTAGATTTACCTTAATATTTAATTACCCTAATATTTATTTATTACAGATTTACCTTAATATTTAATTAAATAATACTCACGTTTCGTTTTCGTCTATGAACATGTTTGTGTGTTTGGACCTGCAACATAAAAATAAATAAATTGTATTATTGGGTAGGTACTTCAGATCTACCTGTCTTTCAGCTTAAGTGCGATGTAAATGGTATGCACATGATAACATTTATTCTAGAATTTTTTCACAGCCACCGAATGCAATTTCAGTCGTCGTCGTGGCTTAAAGGATAAGACGCCGAGTATTCGTAACGAATGATCGGACTGTGCCGATGTTCAAATCCCGCGGAGAGGTACCAATTATGTGATCGTATCTAATGAAAGTTACGTATTTGGCGTACCTAATTTACGTTCATAAATTACTTTCACAACATCGCGTAATGAAAACGAAACCCGAAAAACTTATAATTTGCGTAATGATTATACAATTGAGAGATATAGGTTACGTTGTGATTTGATAATCATTTAAAATCAGATACGCCGCAGTGGTTCTACGCAACAAATTATATTAAATCTTACGGCCCTACCTATCCATTTAATAACCTATCATAATATCTTGCACTGCACTAAAATTTGCATGTCAAATAATGACAAAGCATACACGCTGCTTTTAACTTATGTAATAACTCATTTTCATTATGCTTAGGGAATAAATAATTTCTTTCTTTCTTTCTACCTTATCGTAGCTGGTCACATCATCGATATCGGCAATAACCAACACAACCAACATGCTACCGCTAACGTCTTCTTTTTGAACCTTGTTTGAAAGTCTAGATAAGTCAACTATCTAAAGCCTGTTATGTATTTTGAATGAAAATATACATAACATAATATTGTTATCATAATGTTATGTCTCTGAATATTGCTAATTAGGTGATTTAACTACATCGACGAGCTCTAGACATGTAACAAGTGCGTGATGCGTTTAACTGTGAAACAAAACGCCTAATTTTAAATTTATTTGTTTCTGGTATATTATAAAGGATTATTTTATTTTAGGATTATTTTTAATTAATTAGGAAAGGATTATTTACTAGATGGCACTAAGTGGGAATGAGGCGTTCGCTCCTGGCCTTTTCATTTTTCATTATTATTATTATTATTTATTTATTTTAAACTGTATTTTTTGACTTGTTTTTTCGTTTATTGCAAATATATAAACTTATTTAAAAAAAAAGAAAATATTTGAGAAAAAACCATAGAAAAAAGCCCGCTGAGTTTGTTTTGCCGGGTCTTCTCAGGACTGTGGCTTTTTTTGGAACCGGTGGTAAAAGTTAATATTGTTATTTATATTTTGACATTCAACAAGTGTGTTATACTGACATTTAAGTTAAAATAAATGATTTTGAATTTGAATTTGAATCTGAATTTTTTTGTATCAGTATTTGTGTACTATTTACTAAAACTGATCTGCCAAAATTCAAGTAGCTCACGTACATCAGGAAAGGAAATTAAATGATGACGTTTATAGCCCACGCCCCACTCACCGCATGTCCCGCGGCTAATTATACACTGGCGAGCCTCACACGCTAACAAGAATCTAGGTCTCAGACAACAGTGTCGGTTGGATACATTGTCTTTTACGCTGTTGAGGATACAGGTGTAGAATTATGTTAGGGTTCAAGCGACAAGAGATACGCGACCGATTCCAGAGTCGCTTCTTCAAGATGGCGACCCACTTTTTCAGTGTAATGCGATGTCTGATGAATGAATATTACTTGGAGGATGGATGGGAATACAGTTAATTCCATTTAAAGGAATAATCTAGTTCTATTGCTTAATAATACATATTTATTGAGAGAAATTGTTAGTACAAAAACTTTTATCATATTTTATTATTAGGTAATTTAAAAAAGCCTATATTTTCGTCAAAAAATTAAGACTATTCAGAAACAGCACAACAAAAAGCTTGTCATGTCTATGTTTGGTAAAACAGACGGTAAATAATAAACTATAAATATCACAAACCATTTACGAGTATATCGTGACAGCAAGGTCATTATTATACCTACAGTTTGATAAACACAGCCCCGGTGATTGACGAATTATAGAGCGGACGGTTAACGTGGTATTTGATGCGTAGAGAGGAGATGCATGTGACTAGGAGATGTATGGAAATGGTAGCGCAAGGTAAAGGGGGAAGAGGTCGACTGAAGAAAATATGGATGGAGCGTGTGAATGATGATATAGAAGATATAGGAGTGAGTGTTTAAATGACGGCTGATAGAAGAGGATGGAATAAAAAAATTCGCTGTGCCGACCCCACCTAGTGCGATAAGGTGGAGACAAAGAAGATGAGTTTGATAAACACAAAACTATAATCTTGAATTGTATAAGTAAGTGCTGTAAAAATAATAGAAAATCTTTTTTCGTTATCCTTCCAATAAGGAAATGTTATGTTTAGGAGTTAGTAAACGTAATTCCTTTTTTGATCACTTGAAACATAAAACCATTTCGACAAATCGAATTGCAATTTCATTCATTTCAATTCAGGGTTATTGTTCTTTTGTATTTATTCTTTGTATTTGTTTGTCTGTTTATATTGAAGTCGCTCAACTTTAGTTGTCTTGTTTATTTACAATTTAGCTGTTTGTTAAAAAAACATGAGTAACTACCTTTTTATTTTCCAAATTCAACGTCAAGGATTTATTTTTTTAGAAACCAATGATCGGTTCGGAATTTAGACTATTAGGGAATTTATATGGTTCTGAAACTATTCTAGTCTGTGTCCAGTATTTTACCAGTGGACGCATGCGGCCTGGATGATGATGACGACCGAGACATGATTTCTCTATTGTATAATGTCTGTGACACCCTCACACCCCTAAAACCGGAACGCATGACTGCTTCGCAGCAAATAAAGTGTCAGGATGGATGTACCGACCCGTGCGGGGTACAATACGTCCTATCACCGGTAATGTCGTCTGGCAATCGCAGCACGCTCGTAGGAATAGCTCAGATAATGCTGGGCACATTCACCATTGATTTCGTTAGTCGATTTTAACAAGATCTACACGGAGAGATTGGGTGGTGCTAGTCTAGACAAACATTACACAGTTGGTGTAATTTAAATAATTTACCTACTGAACAATAACAAAGTCTATTTCCTTATGTTGTATAATTTACTTATGAATGTAAATATAGCCTCAAAACTCGATACACATTGTCTGCAACATGATAAAATCCATGTCACTAAAAATATAGTATTTATTTATTCCCATATTGATATAAATTTCAATTCATTAATGGGGTGTATTTTCTTAATAGCCCTGTTCAATTAGACCCATATTTATATATAATTGGACCTATCCAAACCTATGTTATGTTACAAAAACCTTGCTGTTGCTATCAACAAAGACTGCACCAATTTCCCAACTTTGAATAAATAACAAATTAAATAAACGCAGTCCACCCTTAAACCTTATATAGCTCGATTGAGATGTAGCCACAAATAGTACTTCGCCACAAACGCATTGTTAGCCTACATAAAAGCGATTAGGCATCGCTAATGTTTACATGCACGTCCCTGTTACAATGACCGTCATGTAACACACTAACATGTATAATTTAATTATAAACGTTCTAAATATGTATCGGGGTTCGCGTTAATGTGTCCACGGGTTTTAGCAAATGGACTGTTGAATTCATGTGTCAAAAACTATCAAACAATAAAGGATATCCATGTTCATTAATACAAATTTCATTGGTGAAGACTTCTCATCTTTAGGTTGAAAGTATTATGTCGCATCGTTTTACAGAAAGCATGTTGGGGTCATGATTATTCAAAAAATTCAGATGTTCCAGTGTACTTTCACAATAGAAAGAGAATCGCAGATGAATTACAGTAGTACTATCAACAATAATAATTATTAGACTACGGACTTTCCAGCTTAAACGGTCGCTCTTCAAGAAAACATCTCTTTTTTTATTTTTCATTTCTTAGATGGGTGGAACAGTTCACAGCCCACCTGGTGTTAAGTGGTTACTGGAGCCCGTAGACATCTACAACGTAAATGCGCTGCCCACCTTGAGATATAAGTTCTAAGATCTCAGTATAGTTATAACGGCTGCCCCACCCTTCAAACCGAAACGCATTACTGCTTCACGGCAGAAACAGGCAGGGCGGTGGTACCTACCCGCGCGGACTCACAAGAGGTCCTACCAACAGTAAACCATCCTACCATCTCTATTTAAATGTAAATCTGGCGCTCAACGTAATCGTGACATTTTACTTTCTTTATTCATTCTTCTGTGCGGTTTTTATTGGCTTAGAAAAGATGAGCAAGCATTATCTCCACTTCAATATACTTATATGACTCAAGCATGACCTTTACCCTCGTACACGTGAAGGCAAGCTCATATTGTGTACAGAGAATATTCAATTAACCTTGGTCTTGTTCTCCTGACAGATTAATATTTACTGTAGCAAATGTAAGTAACGTATCCCGCTCGAGGGCAAGCGTCCTTATACACAAGAACAAACGATTATATTCATTAGCTTTGATAACTTTTCCTAATTAAGCAAAATTTTATCCTTATTTTAATCTATTAATTATTACGTGAAGCAGAAACTTTGTACCCCTTTTTACGAAAATTGCGCGGACGGAGGAGTATGAAATTTCCCACACTTATAGAGAATATAGAGAGAGAGTGCAGAATGTTATTATTTTTTTAAATGATGCTTAAAAATACATTATAGCAATAAAAAAACATTACACACACTACCATGTATTTGACGCACACACGCATGCATACTATTTATTTATTGTCAAACTTTTGTTCCTGACGTCTGTGGTCAAATTGAGAATAGATTAAATATTGTTTGTCTTTATTAATATTTTTCTATAGTGTATTCTTGGCGAAATTTGTGATTATAGAGGGATAATATTGCCAATAGAATCATAACAGTGTCAAACTTATAATTTCAATTAATTATAGTCGAATTTCGACTACCGGGTGACCACTAGTTTTAATAAATACGCTTAAGTGGCAAAACGAGTTCACGCATACACGTACGTATTCTACTAAAATTTTCCTATTACTATTATAATTATTAAAAAAAATTGGTAGAAAATATAGAAACGGCAAAATTATTTACTCGCAAAAGTCCTAACCCTAATTAATTTAACATCAAGACGCGCTATCATGTTTTATTATCTGTAACGAAGTTCACCTTCAGAATGTATTCAAAAAATCAATTCGCGTGTGGGCGAAATCCCTTTTAGGGTGTGTATAAATCCTTTACATGTTTATTTTACGATGAAATATATAAAAAAAAAACGATAGCTATATTAAAATATCAGCGAAACCCGTTAAGGTAAATAATGTTTAATTAATTAATAATTTCCGGAAATACATCGAGATTGGTTTCTAATTATAATTGGACTTTGAAATAAGGTCATTTTAACCTAGACATACAGGAGAATATTATTCCTTACTAGCTGACCCGGCAGACTTCGTTGTGCCTCAATCGATAAATATGTAAAATAAACTTAAAACAAACAAAAGGAATCCGTCCGACGGAGGACACATCAAAGGGAAAACAAAATTGTTTTTTTTATTCATATTCCGAACATTTTCATATCTACCTTTTAAACCTTGTCTGGACTTCTACAAATAATTCAAGACCAAAATTAGCCAAATCGGTTCTCGAGTTTTAGCGAGACTAACGAACAGCAATTCATTTATATATATATAGATTTCCTACTAAAGAAAGATAACATCCTTCTGGGCGGAGAGGTTCTCAATCGGCAACTGTCGTTATCTTGATGGCTATTGATACGTTTCAACGGTATACATTATCCTTGTTATTATAATTAGTACGGGTCCCGGGCGAGTTGCTCGACTTCCAACGTAAGCTAATTAAATAACGTGCTAAACTTTCATTTCGTCCGACAAGTTTCAAATTAGTAATCAGACGCGGTAGCTCGTTTAGGCTAATTGGTACAACGAGACTGCATTCATAATTGAATACGACACGGAGTTAGGAGCTGAAACGTTTAAAATTACATAATTATTTAGAGGTATAATATTTTGAAGCCGGCGGCGGCTTGGCTGTGTTGTTTATGTCCGTCAGCGACGGCGAACGGTCACCACCAACTGGGTTTAGTTGTATGTTTATCAAAGCCCTGCCTATTTCTGCCGTGAAGCAGTAATGCGTTTCGGTTTGAAGGGTGAGGCAGCCGTTGTAAGTTGTAACTATACTGAGACCTTACAACTTATATCTCAAGGTGGGTGGCATTTACGTTGTAGATGTCTATGGGCTCCAGTAACCACTTAACACCAGGTGGGCTGTGAGCTCGTCCACCCATCTAAGCAATAAAAAAAAAGGTTTTCTGATGAATGGAAAGAAGATCTAATGGTTCAAATGGAGTTAACGGCGTCATTGACCGGCAGATGTGATGTCGAAATTTAAATTGTATACGTTGTCCGTGAATGATAGACATATGACAGAAGTTTTTCAAGTCAAAACTATGACTTTAGACTGTAGACACTAATGATATATAGAACTAAATTATACACTGATTCGACCAATATTTAACACGACATTTCTGATCCTCCCAATCCACTCTCGGTGCTTTTAGGCATTCTAAAGAGCGGTCACCGTTCTTGTCGAACTCGCCGTTTTTGCAAGATAGTCGTCGGAACACCATGATACGCGAGGACTGTCGACCTTCACGACGATTCAAGCCAAGAACCGATACGTAAGTATCTTACGGTAGCGTCAGAACGCTACTTCGACAAAGCAGCACGACACGATAATCCTTTTATCGTGGTCACTGCTAGTTACTTATCCGACCCTGGCTACTGTCGCCCGAAACAAGTCTTGTCGGATCCTCCCGATCCACTTTCGGTACATTTAGGACCCTTAAGCAACGGTGGACGTCCTCGTCAAATTCGACGATTACTACGAGTGAACCGAAAAACACAGCCCACTGAGTTTCTCGCCGGATATTCTCAGTGAGTCGCGATTCCGATTCGGTGGTAGATTCTACAAAGCACTGCTCTTGATAGGGCTAGTGTTATCAAATTCTCTCGGGTTGAGCCCGTGAACTCACCTATCCCTCCGGACGTAGCTAGAATAGCCCCTTAGGCTAGTGGCGAATAGGTAGGGGAAAAAAGAATGTCGAATTCGTCGAATAAGTCGGAAGAGTTCGCCGTGCAACTCAACCCACAGACACAGCCCACTGAGTTTCTCGCCTGATCTTCTCAGTGGGTCGCCTTTCCGATCCGCTGATAGATTCAACGAAGCACTGTTTTTACTAAGGTTATTGCTGTTAAAGTCTCTCAGGCTGGGCCCCTGAGCTCTCATGCCAGTCCGGGGAAATCAAAATAGCCCCTCGACACTACTGGTAATTAGATAGAAATTAAGTAGCATTTTTTGTTTATATTATTATTTAATGTAACAATATCATTAGTAGCACAATACCGCTAACGTTATGTAAGCTAATCCCTAAAAAATCAAGAATCTCATTTAGTTCTATAAGTGATGCAAAAATAAATTGCAAATAAAAAATAGTCTCACAGTATAACGACTTCATTTACAGAATCTCCAACGCTTATTTGCTCTCAAGTTAATTATACAAATTACAGACATTAATTATACTGGATGTCGTCGGACAGTAAACAAGTTTTATTAACAGTTTTGACTTATAACACTATTAGGTGAATAATTTTTTTAGTAATTTAATAGTAATTTTTCAAATATGCTATCACATTTAAAATTTTCAGACACAAAGTCAACATGAATCGAATTAAATTTGTACAAGCAAAAAAAACGTGTGTTAACTCTATTGTCGTTAAAACAGAACAATGCCTTATTAAATATGTACTTAAATATTATGACAAAAAGAAATACAAAGAAACTCACGTCATTTATAATGTTTACACAAAACAATAACTGTTTGAAGGAAAACAACAATGGCCAATGATTATCAAGACCACAGTGTCTCTCGAGGAATCTGATGATTGACTGGGGACCCGCGATCCGGTGTCTTAGCCTCGTGAATCTAACCCGACCCACACCTAAAGTAGGTTACATATCATTGTTCATTACGAAAACAGGAATAAAAGTGAACGACGATGCAGGGTGTTCGTTGAATTAATATTTTGATGGCGAAAAAAAATAATAGGAAGCAGCGGAAATATAAAGCACCGCATTCTAGATTATCGGTTTGGACACAAAATGCGTGCTCTGTATCTCAGTAACAATATGTACAATTTCTTTACTAAACGGAACAAAGGTGGTGAGTCATTTATAAAAAATAAAACTTTAGTTCAAAGAGTACACAGTGAACAAAGTGCTTTGTCAGTTTATATTTATCACATTCTACTCTGCAACTACATAAGACAATGTACCTACCTGATATTTTAATATGATGATATAAAATTGATACTGACATATTTTTTTCAAAAAAATTACTAATATCGCTTCACAACACATAAGCTTAGAGTTCGTGTACCCACATTTGTTAACAAAAAATGATGTGTTTAGTTTGAAAAAAAAATAACACATAATTTAATACAGAACAAAGCAACAATGAACACACTTTATTGTTGAAGTTCTCATATTAACGCTATGCCATACAAACAGATGAAATAAAAATAGTTTTAATAGTGAATCTAATCACTAATTACCTTGTGGGTGGGTACTTTAGTAATTACGCGGTAAATTTATAAATGTTACGTCTAGAGTTATCAGAAATATACTGCGATATATTTTTTTGTTTCTTGGAAATTAAAGTTTATTTTAGTTGTCTAAGAGCACTGAGCTCATAATCATCTTGGAGAGTTTAACAGCAGCACTAATCGAGACTGTTCAGACAAATTAACTATCCTCAAGTGTGCACTGAGCCTATTCGTAGAAAAACAAGACAAGCAATGCTGACCGAAGTCCGCTCCGTCAATTGTGGAAGCGTACCGTATTCGACGATGACGGCACTCCTCGGAATTAGTGCGACATGAAAACACGGACTTCGGACCTGTAAGTTGTGACCATGAAATGTGCATCCACAGTATACAGCCTAGCCGGTCAAACAATAACGTAAAGTGGATATGTCAATGTCCACGATTGGCTGCTAATGTTGACAATGCAGGCATTCGTTTTTAATTACTGGAACGAAAAGTGTACTTTGGAAATAATACCCCTAAGCTTGATTTTTTTTTTCTTAGATGGGTGTACGAGCTCACTTCCTACCTGGTGTTAAGTGGTTACTGGAGCCCATAGACATCTACGACGTAAATGCGCCAGCCACCTTGAGATATAAGTTCTAAGGTCTCAAGTATAGTTACAGCGGCTGCCCCATCCTTCAAACTGAAACGCATTACTGCATCACGGCAGAAATAGGCAGGGTGGTGGTACCTACCCGCGCGGACTCACAAAAGGTCCTACCACGAGTGTATAGTGTGTTTCATTTAGCTGTTCGTATTATAGATAAATCGGATTATGTTACATAACTGACATTATTGGTAGCAACGATTTTGTTTGAGGGCGGTCTATAGACTGATGGACATTCAACATATAATGTGGTTGCTATTCAATATCAAATCGACAATTGACTGAGCGTGTACGTGGTAAAACCTTTGTCGTTCCGATAAAAGTCCCCAAGGTTAGTGGATTGAACAATTTAATTACGTTCAGATTAAAAACATTCTAGAACGCGGTTGTGCTTAATGGATTGGAACCGCAATTATTACTAGCATTTGATATTGCAAAGTTGTGTTCGTATTTCTCTAATGTCCATACTTTTATTTTTCGCGCATTTTAATTCACTCTCCCAAGCTTTAATATTAATTTCATCAGGCAAGTGTTTATTGGCAATATTTACGCAATTTATAACTGAAAGCGTGAAATCTTTTGCACTCGAGGACATTGGTGTTCAATCGAAACAACAGTAGAAGTCGAATTATTCATAAATACAGTTGTCGATTTTTCTTTTCATTCAATAATCTAATTGAATTGTTTGATTATTTTTAGTTCTTTTTAAGACTTAAACGGATCTAATCACACCTCATATCGAGGGCTGAAGGCTATTTATAATAGTTTAAGCGACATTTTTACAATTTACAGGAGAGCCATTTAAAAGTTAGCATTTGGAAAAAATATCTAAACAAAAAACTTTTTCGGCTATTTGAATGGGGTAAACTTAATTGAAGTGCAACTAAAAACATCAAATTGTTTATACTAATACTAAAAATGTGTGGTGGTGTGGGATAGGAACGAAGTTTCTTATTATAAAAAATATTAATTTTAAGTTCTATTCGCGGTATAAAGAAAATAAAACTGGAGGTTTCGCAACAACCCACGGTCATTCGGTAACGTGCGAACTTATTGTGGTACACTTCATTCGCGGTTGTTTGCATACAAGTACGAGTGTATCGCGCAAACGAACGCTCTAACAGCCTGGCCACGGGACATTCGCCGATGCGAATATTCGCGCGGTGCGAACGGCGAAGCGTCTAGCGACTAAAATAAGCGCATAGAAATGTACCTAACAAGCCACGCGCACCGGCGACCGGCGAAGCGACCGGCGAAATGTACCGAGCGAATCGCGCGATGCGACCGGCGAAATGTACCGAGCGAATCGCGCGATGCGGCGGGCGAGCAAAACAAATGCATGAATACGGACGGCGCGAGCCACGGAGTCGAGCGGTAGTCGCGGCGAATAGTACAGTGATTAAATGAGTTTAGTTGTTTTCGCCGCGAAAAATTAACGCCGAAATTTTTATATTTTTTATTTATTTTTTATTTTATATTTTTAAAGTCGTCGTGGCCTAACGGACGTCCGGTGCAATCGTGTTGAGCGATGCACCGGTGTTCGAATATCAGGCGGGTACCAATTTTTGTAATGAAATACGTACTCAACAACACTCAACGTTCACGATTGATTTCCACGGTGAAGGAATAACATCGTGTGATAAAAATGAAATCTTCAAAATAATAATTTGCGTAATTACTGGTGGTAGGACCTCTTGTGAGTCTACACGGGTGGGTACTACCACCCTGCCTATTTCTGCCGTGAAGTAGTAATGCGTTTCGGTTTGAAGGGTGAGGCAGCCATTATAACTATACTTGAGACCTTAGAACTTATATCTCAAGGTGGGTGGCGCATTTACGTTGTGGATGTCTATGGGCTCCAGTAACCACTTAACACAAGGTGGGCTGTGAGCTCGTCCACCCATCTAAGCAATAAAAAAATAAAATAGCTGAAATACTAGCTAGACCAGCTATTTGGAAGTCTAGCCACCCAAAGTATTTCTCGTACTTCTTGTGGAATTCTCCATCTATAGGTATACTCCGATTCTTATTCAAATCATGTACTTCACAATCTTTTCCAAATAATAGGTCCTGAACCAAAAAACTATTAATTTGTAAGCAATATCGAGATAATTTCGATATAGACATTTCGCTGTCGGACTTCCTTACTAGTCGCGGCGGCGAACGTGAGTACCCGTGGCCTGCAAACGGTGCTGCGCGAATGGTCGCCTCGCCCACCGCTTCGCTGTTCGCACCGCCGATCCCCGTGGCCAGGCCGTGAGATCGTGGTCAATTAATGATAAAAAAATATGTTATTTTTTGTACGTTATTGCAAAGTTAAGTCGTACACTGTGTGCATTACTAATAAAAATCTTACGTTACCGACGTTTTTTCCCCGTTAGGGTATCCCTCCGCATCGTCCCATAAGGAACTTCGTTCCAAAAATAAAAATAATTATTAAGCGAAATGTCGCCTAAACTAAATAGCCTTTCTCATCCCTCGATATGTTGAAATGCGTACAAAAGTACACACTCGATGCATCTATTGAGGATTGATATACGCTATTGGATTACAAATGATTAAGACAATTTGGAGAGGTTGCATTATCATAATAGCAATAGGCCTAATAGATTGAAGTCGTCGTGGCTTAACGGACAAGATGTCCGGTGCATTCGTGTTGAGCGATGCACCGATGTTCGAATCCCAGGCGGGTACCAATTTTTCTAATGAAATACGTACTCAACAAATGTTCACGATTGACTCACAGTGAAGGAATAGCATCGTGTAATAAAAATCAAACCCGCAAAATTATAATTTGCGTAATTACTGGTGGTAGGACCTCTTGTGAGTTCGCGCGGGTAGGTACCACTACACTGCCTATTTTCTGCCGTGAAGCAGTAATGCGTTTCGGTTTGAAGGGTGGGGCAACCGTTGTAACTATACTTGAGACCTTAGAACTTATATCTCAAGGTGGGTGGCGCATTTATATTGTAGATGTATATGGGCTCCAGTAACCACTTAACACCGGGTGGGCTGTGAGCTCGTCTAACCATCTAAGCCATAAAAAAAAGATTTGAGCAATTAAACTGTTTGTGGTACTTACTTACTAAAAACTATGAAGTGAATGAATCTATACTAATATTATAAAGAGGAAAGATTTGTTTGTTTGTTTGTTTCGAATAGGCTCCGAAACTACTGGACCGATTTGAAAAATTCTTTTTCCATTAGAAGCCAACATTGTCCCTGATGAACATAGGCTACTTTTTTTTATTTTTTTTATTTTATTTTTTTGGTTTCATGTGTGTTTTAATGTTTCCGAAGCGAAGCGAGGGCGGGTCGATATCTATACTAATATTATAAAGAGGAAAGATTTGTTTGTTTGTTTGTTTCGAATAGGCTCCGAAACTACTGGACCGATTTGAAAAATTCTTTTTCCATTAGAAGCCAACATTGTCCCTGATGAACATAGGCTACTTTTTTTTATTTTTTTTATTTTATTTTTTTGGTTTCATGTGTGTTTTAATGTTTCCGAAGCGAAGCGAGGGCGGGTCGCTAGTAAAAAATATATTTCAAAGATTTTTCATATATGATCAATACGCGACTGAATTCACCAGTAAATAGATATAGGTTGTTTCTGTTTGAAGCCTTGAGGAAACTGTACGTAGTTATAAAAAGTTATATTTAGCTAAGTAACTTTTTTCATTATTTCAG